CCCAAAGGGAGTTAACATTCATTGTGAAATATGAATACCGGAATATATAAAAAACAAAAAAAACAAAAAACAAAAACAGAATATTAAAAATGGGATGGTGGTTTTAATGGCTTGTAAGTACTGGCACGAGAGAGCATGAGAGCGGTGGCAGTGAACGGCGTAAGTGATTGGAAATTGTAAGTGAATGGACAGTGTAGGTGGATAACTGATGTTAAGGAAGATGTTGTAAGTAAGTGGACAGTGAAAGTGAATATTTAATACATGTGGATAGACAGTGAATGTGAATATTTAATACTTGTGGATAGGCAGTGAAAATGAATATTTAATACATGTGGATAGACAGTGAATGTGAATATTTAATACATGTGGATAGGCAGTGAAAATGAATCTTTAATATATGTAGATAGACAGTGAATATGAATATATAATTCATGTGAATAGACAGTGAAAGTGTATAAATACTTTGTGACGAGATAGTGAAAGTAAATAAAAATATACGTAAACAGACAGTGAAAGTAAATAAACAATGAATGTAACAGTGAAAGTAATTGAATACTATAACGAGACAGCGAAAATGAATAAAAATATAGGTAAACAGACAGTGAAAGTGAACAGATATTGTATGTGAAAGAGAATAAATAATCTATGTGAACAAACAGTGAAAGTAAATATTTGCCGCGCCTCCATTGCACACTACAAACACTGCAATAAAGCAAGGTCTCTTGAATCATTGCGTATTGAAGAGGGAAAAAAGAGTAAGCCGGAAAAAAGTCGATAGTGTGAAGTCTTAAAACATTTTTTTTTAAATTCCACGTTCCAAAGTTTTCATTGTTTTTTTTAACACCTCGTGAGATAGGTCCTTCAATATTTTTTTGGTTGATTTGACCTTTCCTCTTCATCTCTCTTCTCTCTCATTCTTTTTCTACCCTTTTCTCTCTTCCACTGTTTCTCTATTTCTTTCTCTCTTCCACTGTTTCCTCTATTTCTTTCTCTCCACCTCTCTTCTCTCCCACTCTTTCTCCATCCCTTCCTCTTTTCCATTGTTTCTCTATTTCTTCCTCCCCACCTCTATTCCCTCACTCTTTCCCTATCCCTTCCTCTCCATCTCTCTTCCCTCCCACTCTTTCTCCATCCCTTCCTCTCTTCCACTGTTTCTTTATTTCTTCCTCTCCACCTCTCTTCTCTCATTCTTTCTCTATCCCTTCCTCTCCACCTTTCTTCTCTCCCACTCTTTCTCCATCCTTTCCTCTCTTCCAGTTTCTTTATTTCTTCCTCTCTACCTCTCTTCTCTCACTCTTTCTCTATCCTTTCCCCTCCACCTCTCTTCTCTTACACTCCTTCCTCTTCTCTATCCCTTCTCTCGACATTTCTTCTCTATCCCTACTTCTCCACCTCTCTTCTCTATCCCTACTTCTCTACCTCTCTTATTTATCCCTACTCTTCCACCTCTCTTCTTTATCCCTACTTCTCCTTCTCTCTCCTCCTCTCTTCTCTCTCCCTCCAATATTTTCTGCCACCTGCGTTAAGCCGTCCACACTGGCATTTCCATTTCTGTGCGCGCGGCCTTCGCAAGATCTCATTCGGACGCCAAAACGTGACCGCCATCCGTGTCCAACCGGTTGCGACACCCAGAGCCATCTACCGGACGCACGTGACACTAATTCCGCATCATATTGTAAACCCCTGAAGAGGCGCTTCCGAGGAGCAGTGAGGTCGAGGCATGGAGAGGCGCGCCCGAGTAAATTGTCTTTACTCAATAATTCCAGCGACTAATTTCCTTTGAGATAGGAGGGGAGGGGAGGGATAGCAAAGATGGAGGTGGGAGAAAAGTGGAAGAAGAGAGAGAGGAGGGAGAAGAAGAAAGGGGGAGAGGAGAGGAAGCGTGTGGGGGGGAGATGAAAGCAAGACGGCTGATTTGGCAACTGAATTACGTTATGAAGTCAGTCGTGTCTCATTTTGCCTCGGTTGGCTTACAGAGAAGATGAGAACGTGCGTCGTTCAGAAGTCATATAAGAGAGAGATATTTCCGAGTGAAAAAAAAATATTGTCAGAAATCACGATATAAACATAAAATCTTGACGCGACAAGTGATAATATGACAAAACGTTTATTATTATTATTTTTTTTTACCAGTTTAAGCTTTCATATATAACATAATCATCGATATATTCACGCTTCTACACTTATTTCATTACTGTGTTGTACTTTAAGTGAAGATATCGAGGTTTCTGCTATACATGAAATATTTCATTTAAACGCAGTTGGTCTGAGAAAAGAAATGGAAAAAAAAACTTTGGACGCGCATAACCCCCCTCCCCCCCCCAAGAAAAAAGAGAAAAAAAAGAAAAGAAAGAATGAAGAGAGGGTGAGGGGAAGGGAGGGAATGAGGGAGGGGAAGATAGGGAGAGAGAGAGAGTGGGAAAGAGTGAGAGGGGGAGAGAAGAAGAGGAGAGAGTGAGGGTGAGAAAGAAAGAAAGAGAGAGAGAGAGAGAGAGAGAGAGAGAGAGAGAGAGAGAGAGAGAGAGAGAGAGGGAGAGAGAGAGAGAGAGAGAATCGGGAAAGAGAGAGAGAGGGAGGAAAGAGAGAGAGAGGGAGGAAAGAGAGAGAGAGAGGGAGGGAAGAGAGAGAGAGAGAGTGAGAAG